AGCCAAGTTATGGAAACAGCCAAGATGCCCCAGCACTGACGAATGGATTAAGAAAATGTGGTATCTATACACAATGGAATTTTATGCAGCCATGAAGCCCAACTGCCTAAGAAATCGAAATTGTTACATCATCGCTGGTAAATGGATGAATTGGATAACAATCATTCTGATCCAGCAATACCACTCTTGGGGATATACCCAAAAGACTGGTTACTCCAGAGGCACCTGCACACCCATGTTTATTTGCGCACTATTCACAATAGCCAAGTTATGGAAACAGCCAAGATGCCCCAGCACTGACGAATGGATTAAGAAAATGTGGTATCTATACACAATGGAATTTTATGCAGCCATGAAAAGAACGAAAGTTATCATTCGCTGGTAAATGGATGGAATTGGAGAACATCATTCTGAGTGAGGTTAGCCTGGCCAAAAGACCAAAAATCGTATGTTCTCCTCATATGTGGACATTAGATCAAGGGCAAACACAACAAGGGATTGGACTATGAGCACATGATAAAAGCGAGAGCACACAAGGGAGGGGTGAGGATAGGTAAGACCCTAAAAAACTAGCTAGCATTTGTTGCCCTTAACGCAGAGAAACTAAAGCAGATACCTTAAAGCAACTGAGGCCAATAGGAAAAGGGGACCAGGTACTAGAGAAAAGGTTAGATCAAAAAGAATTAACCTAGAAGGTAACACCCACGCACAGGAAATCAATGTGAGTCAATGCCCTGTATAGCTATCCTTATCTCAACCAGCAAAACCCTTGTTCCTTCCTATTATTGCTTATACTCTCTCTACAACAAAATTAGAAATAAGGGCAAATAGTTTCTGCTGGGTATTGAGGGGGGAGCGGGAGGGGTGGAGTGGGTGGTAAGGGAGGGGTGGGGGCAGGGGGGAGAAATGAACCAAGCCTTGTATGCACATATGAATAATAAAAGAAAAATGAAAAAAAACGAAAAAGGTCCCCAACAACACATGTCACACTGTTGGCCTGTATACACAAAGCATCCACTAGGATCTCTGACATGGGATTATGTAGAGCTGAACACAACCATGATGAAGGGAGAGGCTGACACCTGGGACAGAAGCAGGCTGCTCCTGACCTTCCTACATTGAGCTCTCTTCACTCTGTAGCATATTTAGAAATGTCTCAAATATGGAACTCAGAGTTCCTGATGAGCAGAAATTTATTTCTGGAAAAGCAGAAGTCATGTATCTTGTTTTGAACCACACCAAAGGCCAATGTGTTGTGAAGTTTTGCTTCCTGTGAAACGTTCAGTGTTGAAACACAAAGTATGGTCATGGATGCCCACCAATACATCCTCTCATCCAGTGTATCTTGGACTGTCTTCTCCCATCTCCTCCCCACAGTGGGGCAGCAGGGAAAACCATCATGATTTGAAATTCACCACTCAGCTTTGCCCACTCTATAGGGAAGAATGAGTGATATTTTTGTTACTGTTTTGTACTTTTGGAGGAAGCTTTAATTTTACTGTTATGATGATTCCTAATTGTATTAACTTATTCTTTATTAATAATTATTTTTAAATTAAGCATTTGTTAAGGTCAAAGTCAGCCTTAGTGCATGAGAACTAGTGGCAAGTTATCAAGAGAACAAAGAAAGAGGCAGACAGACCAGGGGTGCACAGAATGTGATTTATTGGACATTTACTGACAGAAGAATGGACATGGGCAGCAGAGAGACCAGTGGAGCCTGTGATTCGGACTTGAGGAAGGGGGCTTATGTAGTGATCAGAAAAAAGTGACTTCATCCAAGTCAAAATGTTCCTGGTTTACCTCAAGAAAACATCAAAGGCATCAGGCACATTCCTGGTGCTGACTGTGCCAGGCACTGTCATAGAGATCCACACACCACTTCAAGGATGTGTGCATGAATACAGTTTGCTGGGAACCATGTGGGAAAGAGACCAGGGTCACATGGGGACAACATGGTGGTTATGACTCAGGATGGCTGTGGTCAGGTTAAGATGAGTTCCTATACCAAGAATGACGGACCATTCAATAATTGATTACTTAACTAGTATAAAGAATCTCATCTAGCAGTGTTCGTTCATATTTTCAGTGTATTATTCATCAATAAATATTCTTAATTTAAGCATTGATGATCAATCAGTCAATAATCATTTTCAATAATAATGTATTTGATTGTTATGTGAATGTTCATTTATTTTCTTTTACAGGATGGAAATCATGTGGGAAGTGTTGGTGATTCACTGGAGCTCTGAGAAAAACGTGTCTTCTAATTCCATGGGGTATTTTATTTATATCAATTGTGCTGTTTGTCTAGAGAAGCTCTATGACACATTCTGAGGTTCACTTCCTTCCCTGACAGGGACAATCACTTATTTAGCATTTGGGCACACAGAGGTAAACTAAATAAAATCAATTTGAAATGTGGAATCAGTGACTTCCTTGACATTCCTGGATACCTAAACCTTCTTTATTAGTAAAAAAGAAACAGATACCCTGTGAATTTTTGTAGTACAGTATTCATTGTTGACTGCTCCATTCTGGTAAATAGAACCACAGTGACTCTGGATGTCTTCTCTCAGCATGGAGTTGTATGGAGGTCAGGTAATTAGTGGGAGTCTGACTGGGGTCCCTGAACCCACCCTACTTATATTGCTCCAATTGTGGGATGATAAAGAGTTTCAGATACCATTAGCATCTGGTGTTGGTTTCTCATCTGGGGTCAGAGACACAGTGAAAGGAAAGGCCATGGGAGGCACTGGAGATGCCTCTTCCTATAGAATAGTGAGACAAGTCACTCTGCCATGGGGGCGAGAATCAAAATGTAAATCCAGCTTCTGATTCTGATAAGGCTTCATTCATTTCTAAGAAAAATCCACATGTCCCTGGCTTTGGGTACACTATGAGTCTGATAGAAGTCTATTTTCTACCAGTCTGTGTGTAAGGACTGAGGATCAGAGGTGCTTCTCCACCATTGTATACAGGTGTGTATCAACCTAGCCTTTGCCATGTGGTCTGCAGGCCATGAGCTCTTCCAGTGAGCAGGATATCTTATGTCCATCACTGTGACAATACCTGATGTGGACCTCACAGGACGTAGCAGTTCCTGAGTGGGGGATAGAAATCTATCAAAATTCACGTTCTTTCTTCCTTTGTACTGTTGAGGGAATCTCAAGCTGAAATAGGGGACACTCAGGCAGTTTAGCAGGAAGCAACATTTTATTGTGCCAACACAAACCCAGCAGACTCATGTCCAAAGGCTGAGCCCTGAGAACAAAGGGGTCTCACCTTGTACACCCTTGTAAGCAGGTTACAAAGGCAGAAAGAAAAGCTCAACACACTTGTGGCTGCATGTGACTTTATTGGCTATTTAATTTTCCCAGTGTTATGTGACCTTCATATTTCAATTCATTAAGTTTTATCTCTCTGCTTTGCCATCCCTTCCCCTGTCTCGTCAGAACACAGCCTGTCTCTTTTTGGGCCCTTCTCCCTGCTAAAATACAAGTCGTAGGGGTCCAGACTCCTGAGGCATATGGAGATTCAACATACAATGAGAAGACATGTTTGGTTGGACACTTGTGTAATAAGAATAAACCCAAAGCCTAGTGGGTCTCTTCTGGAGTTCAAAGACAACATGTGCATCCTTGGGTGTGTGATCTCAGTCCATTCATTAAGAACCTTGAAAGGCAGCTAGCTCAGGTGGAGTGATGAATTAGGAAGTCTTTGCAATAGATCCAGGCTGAAGAAAACCTGAACCACAGGACCCAGAAGTGGCCATGGTTTGGGTTGCTGTTTCGGGAGGCTGTGAACAGTCACAGCATAGTCCTAAAGATTTTAGAACCACACTGTGCCATGTCTTCAGAGAGACAATCTTCTTTGGGAAGTGATTTCTGGATTTGGATTGAGCTCTATCTAAGGGTGAATGCCTGGTCATGGGTAGCCAAGTCATCAAGGAAGTGGAAGTTCACGACCCACCCAATCCTAAATCCACTGTCAATTGTCAGAGAAGTGGCTCATATGAGATTTGGCTGAAGACGTTCCCAAACATGCGTGGTGTGCAAAATAAATTCAACCTTTAGGCTGAGCCAGGCTGTGTAACCATCTAAAGGAAACATGTGACCATATGGTGTCAGGGGACCTGGATGCACAGAAGTACCTTCTGTATAAAAAAGGGAAGCTCAAAGCCATGGGACCGACAAACCTCAATGACATCAGGAAAATGATAATCACATGCTCATCCACAGATCTGTGACTGGGTTATCTTACAGGCAAAAAGGGGCTTTGCAAATGAGTTTAAGAATCTCAGAAGTGGAGATTTTCTGTGGGGTCTCAATGTAACAACAAGGTCCTTGTTAACGATAGAGGCAGGCAAGGCAGTCAGCATCAGAGAAGGAAGTGAGAAGATGGAGCAGAGGTGAGAGCAGTGTGCTTGCTCTGTTAGATAGGAGGGATGAGGAGGCACAGGATGCACAGCCTGTGGGAGCTTGAAGAGGTGAGTGAGCAGAGTCTGCCCTTAGCCTGCAGAGAATTAGCCCTGAGGGGAACTGGATTAAACCACAGGGGTTGCTTTGCACTTCAGTCCTGCAGAACTGTGACATCATGATCTGAGTTGTTCTAAGCTACTGTTTGTTATAGCAGAAATAGGAAGTGAATAACTGGATGTGTGTGTGTGTGTGTGTGTGTGTGTGTGTGTATTTGTGTGTGTGTGCTTACTACTTTGAGTTCTGAAAATTAGTGATTTTGAAGTATGTCATACATTGATGTACAATGACAATACTAAAAAATACAAATTTACAAATTATATATTTTTAAGTATAGAATGCAATAAGGTCAGAAGGAAGTAGCCAGTGATCACAAACATCAACATTACTGTCTAATGTGTCTGCCAAAGCCTGGTGTTCACCCGATGCCAGCTGTGGGGAAATGAAAACCAGGTTCCTAGGAAGTGCAGCTCCACTTCCTCTGGGGCTGGTATGATGTGATAACCATGTGACAATCAGGACCAGCCCTCTGAGTGACCACACTTTGATCATCTGTTTGACTGTCCTGCTAGATACAATATCCTCTTCTATCTGTGCAGCCTGGCCACTGGGAAAAGAAGGCATGACCCCTACACTCATGGTCCTGCTCTGCCTGGGTGAGATGTGAAGAGGGGGAGGGGGCACCATAGTCTGGTAGGGACGTCAACCCACAGCCACACCCTGGCCCATCAGGAGACCTGAAGGGCTGAGGAAGCTGTGGGGAGGAGAGGACCTGCTCAGGCTTCAGGGGCAAACTTCTTACAGGGAACTCTCTTCCAGGGCTGAGTCTGTGTTCCAGGACTCTAGTACAGGCAGGTGAGTATGTCAGCTGTCATCTCAAGTCTCTCCTCCTCACAAGGAAGAAGAGCCCACTGCTGGGCAGGAAGTGGGGTTAATCCTGGGTAGCCTGGAAGATCCTGATGCTCAGGGCTAAGGTGTTAGGAGGATTTACCTGATCTCAACCTCTGATTTCTTTGCAGGATACCTCCCCAAACCCAGGCTGTGGGCTGAGCAAGGCTTTGTGATCACCTGTGGGGGAAAGGTGACCATATGGTGTGAGGGGACTCTGCAGGCCAAAGAGTTCTTTCTGAATCAAGAGGGAAGCTCAGCACCCTGGGATAGACAGAATCCACTGGAGCCTGGGAACAAGGCCAAGTTCTCCATCCCAAAAATGACAGAGTACTATGCAGGGCAATATCAGTGTTACTATTACAGTCCTGCTGGCTGGTCAGAGCACAGTGACCCCCTGGAGCTGGTGGTGACAGGTGAGAGGACAATAGGGGTCCCAGCCCCAGTCTCTGCCCCCAGGAATGGGGTTTAACTTCTGAGGTATTCCTCCTCTCACAGCACAACCCTGGGGATAATGTGGGAGGTGTGAGTCCATTTAACACACTGCCCCCTTCTCTCCTAGGGGTCTACAGAAAACCCAGCCTTTCAGCTCTGCCCAGTCATGTGGTGACATCAGGAGGCAGTGTGACCCTGCAATGTGGCTCATGGCAGAGACTGAACAGTTTCATTCTGATGAAGGAAGGAGAACACAAGTTCTCCTCTGCCCTGGGTTCACAGCAATATCCATATGAATATTTGCAGGCGTTGTTCCCTGTCGGCCCTGTGACCCCCAGCTACAAGTGGACATTCAGATGCTACATCTATGACAAGAGAAAACCACAGGTGTGGTCAGTGCCCAGTGACCCCCTGGAGCTCCTGGTCTCAGGTGAGGAAGCTTAATTTTTGACACAATTATTTTTAGAACCCTTCACACTTTGTCATGAGCCACACTCCAAGAGAGAGGGAGACTGTGTAACCTTGAGTCAGAGGCCCAGACTTGAGAGACAGTGAGACAGGAACCTGCCCCTCAACCCCCTCCATCCAACGTTGTCCACAAAGTCTTCCCTCTTAACCCAGGAGGGTCTTGACTCTGGAAAGAACCTGACCCTCCAGTGTCACTGCCTTTGGCTATGACAGATTTCCTCTGTCCAAGGAAGGGGAACATGATCTCTCCCAGGGCCCTGGTCGGCATCCTCAGGTTGGGCTCTCTCAGGCTGATGTCCCACTGGGGCCTGTGAGTGGCTTTCATGGGGACAGGTCCAGATGCTATGGTACATACAACCTCATCTCTGGGTAATGGGTTCCTAGTGATCCCCCAGACATCCTAATCATAGGTGAGGAGTCCAGCAGGGTCAGTCAGAGAACAAGAGACACTTTTTTGTGGCACTGGGCTTTAAACTCAGGATTTCATTCTTGCTAGCAGATGCTTTTACTACTTGAGACACTCTTCCAGACTTTGTAAGAGGCCATACCCTGCACATGCTGGCAGAGCCCCAGGAGGTGATGGCCAGGATGAGGTCTGTGGGCTTCAGGAGGGAGACATAGAAACTGGGTAGGTGCAGGAAGGGAAACAGTAAGAGAAAATAGCTACAGAGAGATGTAGATCCTCAGATACTGGATGTGACTTTGTTATGTCAGTCATGGAACCTGATAGGCACTTTCCTTCTGTCCAAGGAGGGAGAAGCTAATCCTTCCCATGCCCCTGCCTTAGATCAAAGTCCCAAGCTCAGCAGCACCAGGAAGAATTCTCCATGATTGCAGTCACCTCAGCCCTTGAGGGCATCTACAGGTGCAATAGGTCTCAAAGCTTATCTCCTACCTGTTGTCACTCCTCAGTGACCCCTTGTACTCATAGTCTTGGGTGAGGGGTCTCTGACCCTGTTCTCTCTGAACTTGAAGTGTCATTCAGGGCCCTGTAACCATGATAACTCTGAACTGGGTTGGGAGTGATTTAGCTGGAAGGAGGCACACCCACAGAGATTCACCCTCAGATAGGGGTAGGATAGCAGGGTCTTCCCCAGCATGTGCACCTGTTCCTTACCTGGAATCCCAAAGTTCCATATACTTAGTTGGAGGTTCTTGATGAGGCCACAACACAGATGTAGGGGAGTGAGCAGAGACTGGGTCTTCAGAGGTGGCCTTGGCACCTCACCCTACTCTTGTCCTTATTCACAGGACCCTCTGGGGTACCAACAACCTCATATACAACCCCCATCTCAACAGCTGGTGAGTCTCAGGGGCCTCTGTCCAGGAAGTTTCCTGGGTCCCCAGGCTGCCTGGAGATGTCTCAGCCCATCTAAATCCTTGTTACTGTGCCAACTCTGCTTGTGTCCAGGGGACCGTGGGTCACATTTAGAAGTGGATGGGGACCCACAAGTTACAGGGGTTGAAAGGTGGGCTGCAATGAGGTGAGGCCAAGGCAGAGGGCAATGTTGGGGCCCACTTGGGGGACATATGACAGGGCTGAGGTGGAGAGTAGGGATCCTAGCCCCTCACCTCCCATCAACCCCATAGGCTCTGAGCATCAGCCTCTTACCACCATGGAGTCAAGACCCCAGACAGGTAAGTGAGGGGCTCTGTTAGGAGGTGGGATGCAGGGGAGCAGAGACTAAGCCATGGTGCAGCTTCCTCTGGAGATACTGACTTGGACAAGCCCTCCCTCATCTGGGCCTCAGTTTCTCCAAGTGTAAAGGAATGGCCTGTTCCAGACCTTCAAGTTCCTTCCAGTGGTCACTTTGGCTGTGACCTCCTGGGAGAGGAGGCCTCCCAGAGAACTGATTCTATAGTGGACCTGTCCCCAGTGCCGCAGTGAGTGTGACATAGTATAGGAAGGGCACATTGATGGTGACATTGTACAGGAGAGGGACACAGGGCTGTGGTAGGAGCATTTAGGCTCTTTCCCTCTGGCTGAGAGGGTTTGGCTCTGGTGCAGACATCCAGGCTGGCAGTCAGACTTCCCAGTTCCAATGCCAGTTCTGCTGCTTCCTGCTAGGTGACCTGGGGCAGGTGACTCAGTGCCCTGAGCTTCAGTTTCCTCCTTTGTGAAATGACTGGTTGAGGTAGCAATGCCATGTTTCAGGATTGTGAGGGTCAGAGGTGAAGGGCAAAAATTACCCAGCATGGGCATTGTACACAGTAGGTGCTCAGATGAGTGTTGCTCCTCATTTACTACATCATTTGTCCCCAAGGACTGCAGTGGTACCTGATGGTTCTGATTGGGGTCTCAGTGGCTTTCTTCCTGCTGCTCCTTCTCTTCCTCCTCCTCCTACAACAGCAGCATCAGGGCAAAGGCAAGAGGTCAGGTGAGTAGTGAGTGGGTGACTTGGGCCTGATTAGGGGGTAGGCTCACTGAAGAAGCAACAGAGGGTGACACGTTCAAGGAATGAATCCCAGGTAAACCAGCCAGGTGGGAACAGAACAGCTGAGAAATCCTGCAGAATCTCAGATCAGAAAACCAAGAACAGGAAACACTTGATCTCACCACCTGTGCAAATTTCAGGCAGTTTCTCAGCTTTTCATCTCACAAACATATGGACATATGTCCAGTGTATTTAAAGTCTCCATCCTCCCCTCAGGAGTCTGTGGGGTGGACCTCTAAATCACATAACCCCGAGGCTTTTCCCTCTCAAGCATCACAGCGAGAGGCCAACTTCCAAAGTCCTGCAGGGGCAGTGGAGCCAGTGTCCAGGGACAGAGACCTGCAGAAGAGGTAATTCCTGCTCGTGAACCCAGAACCTCACTCTCCTGCATCCCTCACTGATACCTGACCCCCCTTGTCTCCCCAGCTCCAGTCTAGCTTTGTCGAGGAAGAAAATTTCTGTGAGAAGAAGAGGGACCCTGGATGGAGATGCCCTAAGGCTTGGCACCATGGAGGGAGGCAGGGAGGGGCAGGGCTTTGACTGAGTCAGACTGAATCCCACACTGTGAATCTGGGGACATCACCGGGAGATGACACCAGGTTCTGTTTCCCTAGATGCTGCTGTGAAGGACACACAGGCTGAGGATGGATTGGAACTGGACACTCAGGTGAGCATCCCACTCCATCCAAGGCACCAAGGGCTTCTGTTGCCTAGTTTAATCCAAGGGAACCTCCTTGTCCTTCCTCACTAAGTTCTCCCAGACATCCAGAACTGACCACTTGCTTCTGGAAGCTGCTGCCCCCCGCGCCCCCCCAGCTGTATCCTGCCTGCCTCCTGTTTTTTCTGTGACCTTGTGGGTCTCTTCCTTCTGTCCTCTTTCTGTTGACTGTCTGGCTGTTATTGAAAAGATGTATGGGTAAATAAGCCCCCTCCTCTCTTTCATCCAGCCACCCACAGGGGGCCCCATCCTGACCAGGCTCTCTAGAGACTGCAGACACAGCAGCAACACAGTTGCACACCTGCCCTGAGCTTCTGTTGGACGTGGAGAGGATGTGCAAGGAAATGTGGAGTCAGGAGTGCGAATTCTGTCAGGGAGAATGAAACAAAGAACAGAGAGCAGGGGGGAGAGAGAGAAGTGTGAATTACAGGGAGAACTCTGACAAGGTATCTCTGAGATGAAACCTGAGAGGTCACACACACATCTAGTGGACCTGCTGCTACAGGCAGTGAGTGGCCACAGCAAGTGCAAAGGCCCTGAGGTAAGCACAAACTCTTTCAGGAAGATGGATCATGTGGCTCAGATCACATGAGCCAGGGTCAGTGTTAGTATGAAAGCTCAAAACTGCAGGAAGGAAGCTGCCAGACCTCTGAGGTTTAGGAAGCCCCCGAAGACCTCATCAGGAATGACATAATCTGATTTAAGTTTTTAAAGGATCAGTCTGGTCATCATGGGGAAAACTGCCTGCGGAGATCTAGGTGGAACCAGGAGGGTCTGTTTCTGTCTCACTGTCTCCCTGCTGCAGGGACTACCTGAGGAAGACCTCCAGGGAGTGATCTATGCCCAGGTGAAGCACTCCAGACTCAGGATGGGAGGTGCCACTCCTCCTTTCCCCCTGAAGGATGTACAGGCTAGTAGCGACAATCAGGTGAACAGTCAGGTGAGTGTTGTTCTCTCTAGGTCTCCAGTCTCCCCAACACCATGCATTCACCTCCCTCTCACTCTCTCTCCTCCAGGCTGCCAAATCTCCAGGTCCCCAGGATGTGACATATGCCCAGCTGTGCAGCATTAAGCTCAGACAGGGGACAACTGCACTTACTTCTTCCCAGTCAGAGGAGCTCAGCTGAGACCAGTGAGCTCACGGCTCTGGTGTCCACCACTAAGGGAGACCCTGACCCCACACTCCATGAAGGGTCCTCAGAGGACACAGGATTCGTCCTGTGGACACTGACTACTGAGTCCAGCCACCATGGGTACCTCACCTGCCAGCAGGAGGTGCTGGGAACCTGTGGGACTCAAATGGTTCTGATTCTGTAGTCAGAGATAACTGATATCCTGAAATTTTGGAAATAAACCAGGGACCTTTCAATAAAGAATGTGTGATATGAGAAAACAAAAGTGTTGTGAGAGGAGGTTTGAATAGGGTGATCATGTAACCATGACACGTTAATTATGAAACTGGAAAATCACAGCCATTAATAAATAAATGAGTAAAGAAAAATCTTTCTAAACCAATGACCTCATCTATCATATTGAGAAAATAGAAAATAAAAGCCTATTGCAAATGAAGGCACAGGGAAGAAGTAATGTGATATTCATAATTACTATTGAGGATAAACACAGAAACACCCAAATATAAATAATACCCCAAAATTTAATTCTTAAAACAGTAATGACATTTGTAAATTTTAGCCATAAAGGAAGAGAGAGCAGGTGACATTTCCATAGATGAGAGAGACAGTACCACACAGGACAGAGCACGTAGTCACATGAAGAACAAAGCATTATGAACATTTTATGTACATAGATTGAAAATGCGAAGAAGGGAAAATTTTCAATGTATACTTTACAAAATGGACATAAGAATAAGTACAATATTCACAATAGCCAAGTTATGGAAACAGCCAAGATGCCCCACCACTGATGAATGGATTAAGAAAATGTGGTATCTATACACAATGGAATTTTATGCAGCCATGAAGAAGAACAAAATGTTATCATTCGCTGGTAAATGGATGGAATTGGAGAACATCATTCTGAGTGAAGTTAGCCTGGCCCAAAAGACCAAAAATCGTATGTTCTTCCTCATATGTGGACATTAGATCAAGGGCAAACACAACAAGGGGATTGGACTACAAGCACATGATAAAAGCAAGAGCACACAAGGGAGGGGTGAGGATAGGTAAGACACCTAAAAAACTAGCTAGCATTTGTTGCCCTTAACACAGAGAAACTAAAGCAGATACCTTAAAGCAACTGAGGCCAATAGGAAAAGGGGAACAGGTACTAGAGAAAAGGTTAGATCAAAAAGAATTAACCTAGAAGGTAACACCCACGCACAGGAAATCAATGTGAGTCAATGCCCTGTATAGCTATCCTTATCTCAACCAGCAAAAACCCTTGTTCCTTCCTATTATTGCTTATACTCTCTCTACAACAAAATTAGAAATAAGGGCAAAATAGTTTCTGCTGGGTATTGAGGGGGTGAGGGGAGAGGGAGGGGGCAGAGTGGGTGGTAAGGGAGGAGGTGGGGGCAGGGGGGAGAAATGACCCAATCCTTGTATGCACATATGAATAATAAAATTAAGAAAAAAGAATAAGTACATTTGAATTGTTTTCTATGCCTTAAATGCCTGTGACTTTAGTTTATTTCATCATTGTGTGAAAGTCATGGAGTAACTTACACAAACCAAGATGGCATAGCCACTTCCACCATGGCCACAAGGTGAAGTCTGCAGCTCCTGGGCTGAAAACCTGTCCAGGTGACTTTGTCATGAGCACTCCAGCCAACTGTAATACTGTGGTCAGTACTCATGCATCTAAAAGTATTAAATACAGCAAAGATACAGTAAAATTTATAGAGGATAAAAACTTTTCAGCTCCATTGCAACCTTATAGGACCACCATCCTACATCTGATTCAGATTTGTTCTGTGGCACATGCTGTACATTGACTTGCTAAATCAGAAAGTTTCTCACCTTAACTCCAACCTAGGGTGTTTCTTTGGTGATTTGTTCCAATTATTTGTGTACTTATGAAACACAAAAGCAAATACACATGTGCATGGATACCCATCAGTAATCTAAACTTCCCCTGACAATAGAAAAAGAATAAATATACTGAAATGCATTTCACAAGCAATGAGAAAATTGATACTAACCTTAGGCAAAGAGCCTAAAGACTTGGGAAATCATAGGAAGAGATCTCACATGAAGTGAGTCAATCCCTAAACAAATGCCACCACTAAGGTTCACTCCTGTCAAGAGACAGCACATCAGGACCACACTGGATGTTTTGTTTTTGTGTATTGAAGACAAGTTTCACTTATTATTCAACCTCAATCAATATATTTCAACACTGTAACAGAATAAGTAAAATCTTTCCATCTCAATCAGTGCAAACACATGCTCTTGTATGAGCTTTTCCCATGCTCTCACTGGCATTTGCATAACTTCTGCTTTTTATTTTACTTTTTGTTCATTTTTCTTTCATTTGCTTATTTATTTATTTTTCAGTTCTGGGGTCTGAACTCAGTGCTTCACACTTGTGATGCAGGTACTTTACACTTGAGAAATGCCTCCAGCCCATTTTGCTCTGGTTATTTTGGAGATAGATTCTCACTTTTTGCCTAGACCAGCCTGGACCACAATTCGTTTATTTTAAGCTTCCCCCGTAACTGGCATGACAGGTGTCCATCGCCATTTTCAGTGCTTTTTTTCTGTTGAAAAGGGAGTTTTATGAACATTTTTGCCTAGGCTGGGTTCAAGTGGTAGAGCACCTGCCTAGTAAGTGTGAAGCCCTGAATTCAAACCCCACTGTTGCCAAAAAAAAAAAAGACAATAGCTAGGTCCTAGTGGCTCATGCCTGTAATACTAGCTCCTTGGGAGACTGAAATCACAAGGATCGCAGTTTGAGGCCAGAATGGGCAAACAGTGAGACCCAATCTCAACCAAAAGCCAGGATCAGTGGTGTACAACTGTCATCTCAGCTGCATAGGAGTCTGAGAGAAGGAGGATCATTATTCCAGGACAGATGGGGAACAATTTGTGTGAGATCCCATCTCAGTGGAGAAAAGCTAGGATTGGTGGTACTTGCCTGTCATCCCAGCAAAAGTGGGAAGGGAAAAATAGAGGATCTTGGTTCAGGCTGGAGATCCTATCTCCAAAAAAACAAGAACTAAAGGACCTGGAGGTGTGGCTCAAGCTGTAGAGCACCTGCCTTGCAAGTGAGAAGCCCTAAGTTCTCAGCTCAGTACCACTGATAAAACAAACAAACAAACACAGTATCAATTTCTCTCCATTCATTTGTGTCATATTTAGTTTATTTCATGGTTTTCAGTGTACATACCTGTCACTCCTTGGATAAATTGTTCATAAGTATTATGTTTTCTGTTGCTATTGTAAATAAAATTGTCAACTTGATTTCATTTGGAGACTTTGTTGTCAATGTGTAGAAAAGAAAATGACATTTGTATTGATTTGTGCCCTGCAATTTCACTGGGTTCATTTACCAGTTCTAAGATTTAAAAATTTTTTCATTGGTACATATTTATTGTATGTAAGAATGAGTTTCCTTGGCTCTGGATGTGTGGGTTTATTTCTGGGTTTTCTGTTCTATTCCAGATATATTTGGTTTTGTGCCAGTGCCATGCTCTTTTTGTTAATATGGCTCTGTAGTATAATTTGAAGTCAGGTATTGTGATACCTCCAACATTGCTCTTTTTGCTCAGGATTGTTTTGGCTATTCAGATTCTTTCCTGTTTCCATAAAAGATTTATTGATTAATTTCTCTATGACTATGAAAAATGAAATTAGATTTTTGTTTGCAATTGATTGAGTCTGTAGATTGCTTTCAGTAATATGGCTATTTTCACATACTTCTGCCAATCGATGAATATGGGGTTTCTCTGCTTGTTATAGTGTAGTGTCTAAGTGGTGAGAGGAAATATTATTGAGCAGGATTTACTAAATTTTCTTTCAGAGAAGAAAGGTTCTACTGACACTGGTGGAATTCTGATACTCACCTAGCAATGACCATGAGCCTGGGAGTGCTCAGAAAAGGGAATTTCCTCCTCAAGTTCACACATGCAGTGTATTTAAGTACTTTGAAAAGAGTTTGGCTCAGATGGGGCCCAAACAAGAGAAGTCTTTGTGATAGGTTCAGGCTGCAGAACATAGAGTAATTAGACTCAATAGAGGCCATGCTGCAGAATGTCTGTGGCAAACAGGTTTCATACAGAGGACATAGAAGGACGCTGCAGAAAAGTCACAGCACAGACTTGAAGATGTTGAGGCCATTTGCATCATTTCTGCAGAAAACTAATCTCCTTTTGAGAAACAATTCTGGACTTCTGCTGGAGTCCAGTAGAAACTGAGTAAATGGCCAGGTGTGACTGAGTCACCATGCAGCAGAACTGCCATCATGAACAGGTGCTGAGGGACCTATCAAGCTCTGACTGGGCTCAGTGATCCTCATTGTCAGAGAAGCAGCTCCTGTGAGATTTGGATGAAGAAGTTCTTGAAGACACATGGAGAGCAGAATAATGGCTCTCCCTAGGTGTCCATGTCCTTATCATCAGAACCTGTGGCTGTGTTACCTTACCTGGCTGACAAGGGCTTTGTAAATGAGCCTAAGTTTAGCACTGGAGCAGGGAACATAATCAAAGTGGTTTCAGCATAATATCAATGTCCCAATAAGTGAAAGAGGGAGACCTGAGTCAGCATCAGAGAAGGAGGTGAGAAGTTAGAGCAGAGGTGGGAACAGTGTGCTTGCTCTGTGAGATGGGAGGGATGAGGAGGCACAAGATGCACAACTTGCAGGAGCTTTAAGAGGTGAATGAGCAGAGTGTTCCCTGGGCCTTCAGAGGACACAGTCCTGAGGGGAACCTGACTCAATCCCAGAGCTGTAAGAAGGAGGGAGAAATGACCCAAACATTGTATGCACAATGTTTGTGCATAAACATTGTGCATAAAAGAAAAAAAAAGAGTAAGATGACTTTAGCCCTTGACCAGAGAGCCTAGAGTGTCATTTTGACAAAAGTATACTTTTAGACTTGGTATGTAGTCCATTCTAGTTTATGGATGGTTACAAATCTGGTCTGTGGAGGCAGATAGTCTCGACATAAATCCCAATTCAATCACTGTTGGCTTTGAAGCCTCAAGAAAGTCACTTACTCTCTCTAGGTCTCAATTTTCTCATCTGTAGAATTATTATAGAATTATTTACCTCAAAGTGTTGTTGTAGCCTTGAGTTTCTCTGAGGGGCTGGACTTTGTTATTTGAGAAAGGGCTTCAACTCCAAGCTAACACGATCATAGGAAGGTCTTATCAGCTCTGACAGAATTCCCATCTGCAGACTCTGTGGAAGTCATGTATTCAACAAATGCACGTCCTCTAAGACAAGTGTTCAATGGGCTTTGAAACCAAGTTGTTAGGTTGCCCCTGAGCCTGAGTCTTGCTTTCCTGATATTCTGTGAGCATCCAGTATCCTTTTAATAAGCCTATAGTTTGTCTAAAAAAAAAAGA